TCCCTTTATCAGTGGTGGGGGCACAGCCCAGGGCACGGATGGCTGCAGAATCACCAGTTCAGATTGATTTTCCTCTAATGTAGTCTGAGATGGAGATGCCATAGAAAGATTCTGAATGGAAAAAAAGAAGGCCCTTTTCAAGTTGTAGACTGACCTTTTTCATGCATGATTTTGGCTCCAGTTGAATCAATACCTGTTCTATAATAAGTGGGCCTTTGGATTTTAACTCTAATTCCTTTAACGCTTACAGTGAAAAACTGAAAATCTCTATTCTATAGCCCAGGTTGTGATCATCAGAAAGTACAGTATGTAGGACTGTATTTAATTGTGATGAATCCATTTTTATGTCCCCTGGAGGAATGTACAATGTCAAGGAGAAACAGGTGTCAATACTGAGTTGGCTGCCATCTTTCACATTGTGTTACTCACTGATAGTAAATCCTTACCCTGCTGATTTCTGATGAAGATAACCTTCAGTCACCTATCCATCTGTGTGGTACTGATAGAGGAAGCCTTAACTATCCACCAAAACATCCACAGGAGATGGTTATTTTGCAGTTCCTTGGGTCAAGTGTAAGAAGCTTGATACAACAGTTAAGTCATACATTTCAGCACTTGAAGGATATAAACATCTGTTCAGTACACCTGAGTCTGTAGCTGAGTTTTGTTTTGCGTTGTTTTATCGATTTTGATGTATGAGGGTCTGCATGGGGGGGTCCTGGCAACGGTTAACGGTAAATTCAGCAGGGCCGATAACGCTTAACGGTAAATTCAGGACGGCCGGCAACGCTTAACGGTAAATTGACAGGCTTTTTTTTCGAGCTGCACTGGATTTGGTATCTCGCTTTGTGAGAAAAGGTGATCACTGACAAAATTACGTATACCTTACATGTAATGAAGCATGCATTAAAGGTATGTGTTCCCTGTGTTTCCCACCTGCCCTGGTCCCCGAGTGCGTCCCCAATACCGGGGTGTCCGAGTCGACTTCGGCCAGCTTGCATTTTTTCAGTCTGCCCAGTTTTACCGAGGGATTTTGGGAGGGGAGCGCCGAAGGCGCTCGTAATCTAGGGGGTCCGGGGAATGCTCCCCCGGGAAATTTAGGATTTTTAAGCCTTCAAAAACGCAATTTCCCGTATTTTGAGAGGCAAATAATGGTGTTGAGAGTGTTTGTCGGTCCTTCTGATGTTTTCATATTTTACTCAAGATTTTTGTTAATTTGCCTGTCAAGGTTGATGGGTTCATTAAAAAAATTCTGTAACTCTCCGCAAACTTCCGGAAATTGAAGGGTAAACTGGTTCTGGCTAGAGCCGAAGGGACCGAGCGCAGAAGCGCGAGTCGAGCGCCAAAGGCGCGAGCAATGTAGGGGGGGCCGGGGGCATTCTCCCCCGGGAAATTTTGTATTTTTAAACCTTCAATGACGCATTTTCCTGCACTTTGATAGGCAAAATTAGGCGTAACGAAGAATTATTCATTAACGCTTAACGCTGAATTCAGGATGACAAATAACGTTTTACGTTGAATTAAAACGACCCATAACGCTTCACGAGGAATATACTGATAACGCTTAACGTTGAATTAGAGCGGGCCGGCAACGATTAACGGTAAATTAAAATAGCCCATAACGGTTAACGAAAAAGGGCATGCAGACCCTCATGTATGGAAGTGGCCATTTCTTTGTTTGACTTTAAAAGCATGCTGGAGCCTGAGTGCTATTTTCGGTACATTTGCAAGTCTGTGTAGAAATGTGCCTAAAAGCCCAGATGGGACAAACTCACCTGGAGACAGCCTGCTGGCTAAGACCCTTGAATCTGCTTTAGACCACATTGATTTTCAATGGAACTCATTAGGGATTGGCCAGGGGGAGGAACATCTCCCAGGAAAATGGTCCCTGGCAGTGTAATGATAGAGTTCGTTAGGCAGTGATTGATCTAGTTCAACAGCTCGCCGTGCTGCCCAGCCAGGTAAGGTTGTGTGAGCAGCGCTGGCTAGTTTCCAACAACTGTCAATCAGTTGCCATCCTTACTTCTCAGATGACCAAGGCAACTTTTACACCTACATGTACATGTTTGATGGGGCTAACCTTACATCCATAATCAGTTATGTAGACTTCAAATGAATGAAATATCAGATGTCTTCAAATGAATAAGAGCTCAGATAAGTTTTAATTGTATGCCTGTATACTTTAAAAGGGGAATAGATTTTACTCGCATTTTTATGGCCTGTTTTCAAGACTCACTTGGTTTTGATAAGACATTGCAATCATGTGGAATAATTTTAGCCCTGTAGACTGCCTGTGCTTTCAGGTAATACAGATGTCTGGGAGTGCCGTCTTCTCATCTCCAGGCATTTCCTCTTGCATTAGGCTGGCTGAGGTCCAAGGACTAAGGAGAAGTCTTAAGTTGTTATGGGCAAATGTCAGCTTAAACTGAATGACTTAACAGCCATTCCCTCACTATAATGTAATCCAGGCATCTGTACAGGTAACTTTGATCATAAGAGCATGGTTTTAAAATCAGATGAGATATGAATCAATTATGCTCTTCATTTGATTCACTGTTGTGTTCTCCATCAAAAATATGCAGTAGAGTCATGATATACATATATGATATAAATGATATCCACAACTGTTTCTCTGTTTGGCAATTTGATACTGCTGTTTATTCCTTTTTTTCTGTTTTGTGATTGGGACATTCTTTTCTTGTTATGAGTCCACTTTCAACAGATTGTGAAAGGTACTAGTGTCAGAAGGGACTTTTTGATGTTGTCTTACATCAAGGGACCAATAGTCACAGGCAAATACAACATGACTTCCCACATACTGAAAGCTGTGATGTCTGTAGATGATTCTGTGGCAAGGTATCCTTGTAATGTATTTCAGTGAAATGTGGCCAAAAAGGATTAACAAATTTAGCATACTGGACAGTTTTTGAAGTTTCAAAATTGTTACAATACTTGTGCAGTATACACCGTAAGTGATGATGCATATTAGTAATTGGTATTTAGGCCACACCAATTTAATTTGTTGGTTCTCGGATTCGCCTCTTCATTTTTTTCTGATTTGCAAAAAAAAAAAAAATTCTGGTTCTGAATCATCTAAAAAATGCTCATATTTTGCTCCCAACAGTTGAGGAAAGTCCTTTTCTTCCTAGTTGTTACAGTTTTTCAATCTTTTAATGCAGTGGTTTGGTTAAAAGTTCAAAATTCATTGTTTAAATTTTATCCCAGCCTTTTGTGTTGACTTCATGGCTCCAATCGAAGCATTTGGGGCTATAAGAGGATGCCTAGGCCTGTTTTTATTTTTATTTTTTTTCGCCCTGTCGCTTCATATTTTTTCTGAAAAAATCCGAGAACCAACAAATTAAATTGGTGTGGCCTTAGGGCTGTAACAAGGCATCAATGGTAAAATTACATGGAACGTTCAAAATTATGTTATAACTGTTCAAGACATAAGTAATTTGCTATCCAAATCACATTCCCATTCATACTGAAACTTGACTTTCCCATTGGATATATTCAGATGCTAATGGTGATGCAAGCAGGCCAACCTTACTCATCTCACAATATGTCTTGACTACAGAGCGTTGCCCTGACACTTTCTAGGCAACATGCCCAGAGCACAATCTATACAGCACAGATGTGGCTCCCATGGTAGCATTTCATCGACTGCACACTTAGAAATGTCTGTAACGCCTACAGTAGCCAGGATAAATCGATCTGTAACTAAAAATTTGTATAAAGCCAAAAATCAAACTTCTGACAAAACAACATCCTCAATTTTTACAATAAAAAAGCAATTCATAAAATGTTATAATGTGTTTTACATACATTGTATTATTGGGCAATTGTAAATCCAGCATCATTCTATATACTTCTAATTGAGATACATTGTACATGTATTGGTCCTGGTAGTTGATTCCACACCCTGTAGAGAAAGACATTTTCTTATGGCTGCAGGTATGGAAAGTATCACACATGGACAGTCCTTAACAACGGTGAATGATGCATTACCATGTTGTTTATATTCAAGGCTATTTAATGTACCCAGTAATAAAATCTCAGCATGAAAGTACTAAAGGTGAACAGGTAGCATTGTGGGACAAACATTAATGGTTGGTAATGAGTGCCTTGGTAATACACAAAGTCCCAGAGTCATCAATAAAGCTTCACATGTTGTCATCTGTAGGTCAAGATGAAATCCGTGGGTACTTCTGAAAAAGGGCCTAGGGAGGTGTATCTCTTGTAGCAACTCTCTTAGCATTTTGCTGACTAGGGTATTTTTAGTTGCAACAACTATAGTTTCATTATGACAAAAAGGGCTGAGTAAATTGTGACTTACCCATATAACTACATGTATAGTCTCACTTACGTAGCAATAGAATGGTAACATTCTCTTCATTGCTACAGCAAACTTTCAAAGCCCATAAGTCCTTCATTTCCAGCATGCAGGCAAAAACTAGAACAGGGACATAGCTTCATTCAGCAGTTTTTCATAATTACTCTGCAATATAAACCTGCGCTCTTGGAAATTACAGGTATACCCCTACCCAATCATGGATACGAATAAATCATCCACACTGTACTGCTTGTCTCCCAGAACATTTATTGATTTGTTGAGCAGTCTGAAGCCTCCTCCACCACCCACACGGTGACATGCAATCTTGTTTGAGAACTGTTATATTCCAGAACTGGGATGATGGGAAGTCAGGGACATGTTTCCTAGTGAAACTGTAGTAATGGGGGTCAGGAATAACTGATGTCTTTAAGATGTACATGAAAAATGGAAATGAGAAAGTGGGGAATTTGAGGGGGGGTAGGCAACATATATTCTCGGCTAAATTCACATCCATTTATGCAGTCACCAATTTGAATTTAGCAGATATGCTTTCCATTTGTCAAATTGTCTTCTTCAGGTAATGTGCTATTCATTCATCTTTGAACATCGTGATCTTCAATTATGAGATAACGTTGATCATTCAATTGCTCTTTTTTTTCCTCCCCAGGCTGCGACAACAGCAACAGAATGCCACCTTGCCACTCTTCAAGAAGCGCAGTGCCTCCTCCAGCGTGAAGTCTTACAGTGCACCGATGGACGATGGGTCTGATCCTCTGTCTGATGAGGACCTGGATGACTCTCCGTAACATCTAGTCTGCAGAGTGGGATATCACTGACACGAACAAGTGCACCATGACAGCTCTATGATATAGTCTTGTTCTTATCTTCAGTTTACCACATATCCTAACACACATTGTGCAACAGACAGTATTTATACTCATTAGTTTTGATATCTCACCAGTCCCTGCAGTGACTTCCATTTGTGCCTAGGATGCCACAGTCACCTGTGCAGTAATCTTACAGAATTTTGGGTGGACCAGGAAGGGTTTTGAGGGGAGCAACAAAGGGATAAAAATGTCTGCTTAGAGGATTACAGAAAGTTTAGTCAAAAAGTTGACAGGAACATATGTGTTGGTAAATTTTTCCTGGACAAAACTTTGACCAACATCTTAACTCCTCGCCTATGATTGTATTTAGTCCATGCCTGAGCTCGTAACCTCTAAATCATACATATTTGTATTGTTAATTCTGCAAGAAGCATTCTCTGGTGTTAGACTGTTTTACGATCCCATAAAAGATGAGAACTTGACCACTTAACCTCATTGGAAATGAAATTGGGTTAGATATGGAGATAGATTGATTTAGTGATATTTCACAGATGCCCTTTGTATGAACTAATCCAAGTACCTCTATGACAAATTCTTTAATCCACCCTGATGGCTAATAGTTCACTTAGAGTTGATGAACATGACAGTAACTCTTAAACAATGAATCTTCCTTCCACTATTGACAGCCGTATGGTCCGCATTTTGCAGTCAAGCTGTTCAGGGAGTCATCAGTAAATGTCAGGTAAACAGCAGAGTCTTTACTCTAGATGGACATTCCCTGTCAATGAAGACAGTTTCAGAATGATCTGTCACTTAGAATCCTACATTTGTCATAGAAAGGTGACAAGGACTGGATACAGCAAGTTTGCTTGAATTCCCAACCTCTTCATATGTGCCAAAAGTTATTGTAACCACTCCATATCCAAAGATATGGACCACAGATATCCCAACTAGCCAGTACCTGTGCTTATTGCTTCATCAATACTGGAGTAACAGGACACCACAAAAGGATTTTAAGAAGTCTGTTTTGCTGTTACCTTGTCCCTCTTGTGGGCTGCAAATTATTCTCGATTTCCCCCATGTGTACTCGGTCTCCTTAGAGTAACATTACTTCTGCTATATGTAACATTTCTGAAGGTATGTAATGGGCCAAGTGTATCCTGTGTCCAGCATAATATACTACAGACTAATCATTTGGCATTCTGGTTTTACAGAGAGATTGCGTGTGCTGTTACATTTATAATCACGCATATTATTCTGCTGCAAAACAATTCATATTCAAGTTTCGGTACAAGCAGGGTCATCCGGTACTTTTGGACCAGGAAATTGTCAGTCTATGAAGAAAACTATATTTTACTGAGAAACAGAAACATAGAATTGTCTCAGGCATTCCATCTAGGATGACCAACGATTTTATAATTGACCTTCATATTTTATTCTCTTCTATACATATTTCACTTCAATGTTGGTTTTATATTGTAGACTGTGTTCTTGATAGAAAATATTGACATAAACCATAAAATTGATAATATTCAGTGATGTATTCCAGTTATCCTGCAAGACAAATTATGCAATCGACATGTGGAATAATTATTAGCAACCATTTCTATCAAGTAACAATTTTCTGGAACATTGTTATGCTCTTCTACTGCATATTCACTTACCTAAAAGGTTTGTGTTAGTAGAGACAAAACATCATGCTAGTCCCTTAGTACCAAGGGTAGCTTTAAACCTACTTTCCTGTCTCCTGTTGAAGATAAATTTCCATTTCTCCATGGCGCTATAAAGCAAGCAGCTCATCCTGCTGAAAATGGTCAGTGGGAAGCAATTGAGACTGTAGAATGGGTGTACAGCCTGTGAAAAACTCCTCGGGAAAATGCCGGGTTCAAACTTGGAATAACTGAATTATTCACAAGGCCTTGTTGCTTCCAATTCAGGGGATGTCTGATCTTTTTCATTAAAGAAAGTGTCACTGTTAATGAAAGTCAAATTGCTGGTTCCTAAATTTGTCATCCGGCTCAGTAGATAGGAAAGGCCTGTCTATTATGCTCATTAAACTTCTCTCTGCCGACATGTTGCAACCAATGCAAATTTGGGGCCTGGATTTATTCACTGCAGAGAGGAGGTTAATACAAGGCTACCATAGAACCAAGTATAGCTTGGATGATAACTCCAAGATTGATATGATGTATCCTTTGAGCGATCGCAATGGTTATTGCAGAATGGATGGCCCGTATATCACTGGTGTGGAACTGGTATGATAGATCTTCACTGTTGCTGGAAACAGCAATTTCATCAACTGGTTACTGAGCTTACATTTGTGGAAAGTTACTCTTGAACTTGTGTGTTTAACTTATAAAACGCACTACTTGTATATGTACAAGATAATGACTATGACCAAATTAGTCTTTTTCTGTGCATTTATGACAATAGAAGAAAACTGGCAACAGCATATGTTGCCACTGTATATAGTCATAGTCACGATTTAGTATTTTATAGGTTGTATACCTTAAATCTATCAATTGCTTTTAGGTAACAAAATGTTATTTGCTTAGATATTCAGATTGACTGGTGACTCCCCTGAAAACAAGAATGAGTCATGTTGATAAATGAATGTGACATACAACATGTACCAACCTGTAAGAAGAATTACTATAATCACTTTTGTCATACAGAAGAATTTTTAAACTACATCTTCATGTTTTCTGTGGCTCTTAAATGATGTGATTTTTAACATGCTGGCATGATACAGTTGAAAGCCACAAGTCAATGAATATGTTTTTTACCATGTATAGTGGCTACTGCTATACTGAGCAAGCAAAGCCTCTATCAATACCAATAGACAGTAAGAATCTTGGGTCAGCCCATGATCTACATGTGAAGAATCAACATTACTTGAACAAATTTATAACATTTTAAAATTGTATAGCTGTTAGTTTCTTCATTCATAACATTCCACTTTATCAAAAATTCACGTGTTTTTGTGTGTAGCACTCTACATCGATATTGTAGTGTATACAATTTTACTTACTATAGAAGAGAAGCACTAACCCAGCATCATAATCAATAACCTTGCCTTACACTATGTATTATACGGTTCCAATTTTGTACTGTATTTACACAATAACTAACATAGACATTTGATGATACACATAGAATAAGGTGTAGTACCACCATTCAACAATGTCACATGCTTAAAATCAATGTACATGTCATCACTATCAGTAATTTTATATTTTGAATAAAGCAAGTGTATATTTATTGAAGTCAGCTTGATCTGTATTACTATTGCATGTATGTTTTATGTTGATTGTGATGTAGTGTTATGGGCCATTTTATGACCATACTGTGCCCTGCTGATTTGATAAGTTAGATAAGGCTGGAAATGAAGGTTGCTGGGTAAAACACAAAACACTTTTAAAGTTGCTCAGGGAAAAAAAGAGATGCACCATTTCACCATGAATTCTCAATCCTACGTTTATTGTACTAGTACATGTACATGTATCTCTGTGTTATGAATTGGTTGGAGACTACCGTCCCTATTTTTTGATTTTATAGAACAATCCCTACATATCCTTCTTACTGTTAGCTCATTTACTGGAGTTCAATTCCAGTCTGTCAGAAGGATTTGACATTTTGATCTGTGTTCCTTCGGGAGGCCAATTAGCAGATTCTCAGGTAAACTTGACCTGGGTGGTGCCCAACTCTGGTCCAGATGTGACAGCACCACTCTTAGTTCCACCCCAGTGATGGAAGAGACAACTGTATCCTGCTGATGGCATGTCTGACCTTTTGACCCCAAGGCAAGTAATCAGTTCTGTAGGAAGTCAGGAGATTCCACCATTGCTAAACAGTTCAGCCTTACAGTAGCAAATTCTGACCTTGAAATGGTTGGCAGGACCTAAGGGGTGAACCAAGAGGGATAGGAGAGGGGGTGAGGGTTAAAAAAAAGAAATTGCACAGACACGAAAGTGTTTTGACTGAAAACGTGCAAAAAGCATTTTCTTAAAGTTAAACATGTATACATGAACGCCTGTGCAGACTGTCCTCTTGGGTCAGAGCTTCATCCAAATAAAGGTATATGAATATGTATATAGTCCTGGCTTTGAAGAGATGGCATGAATGTGTTTTAGCAAGTACATGTATTGAATATGACTGCTTTTCTAGATCTGTACTTCGCGAGGACAAGCCATGATGATTTCACTGTAGGTATGATCATGTTATCAATTGAAAAGAAAACGATGACTTCTTTCAGTATTTGTAAAAAAAAAAACAAGAAAAAGGGTTTTCTGCCATTCAGACCCCTGAGAAATTGGACAACAGAAATATGTACAAGTGTAGGGTATTGGAAGGAGAGGCTATGGAAGAAGTCCGCACTCTGTTACTGCCTGCTAGAATTGTCTCCTCAGACACTGTGGTCTGAGTCCTTTATTCACACATCAAGGACATGGGGGGTTGTCTCCTAACAACACATTGCAACACTCGCCCCCTCTCACATGTCGTTCGTCCCCGAACGAAACGAAACTGTACTTGAGTTGCATCTCTGGGAGTGAAGTCGTCTCTATCTCTCGTCCCCGTAACCACGTTACACAAGCATATAACTACATGGAAAGGCCATTTTTTAATCACTGTTTTTAGTCAGACCAATATCCTCACACTGTTGTCTCCATGTCTCAATACAATTTGAATATTGAGCAAGATATTGTGGACATAGGGTATCTCGACATTTAACGGTTCTTGCTTGACATTGCTGTTTCATACCGGTAACAATATTTTTTGCTATCTTCATTTTGTTGAAAGGAGTAATGTTAAATATCAAACATCATGAATCAGTCCATTGGACATGTAATGTTATGATGTTATGGAAGACAGAAGTAGACAGGAAATGATTTCAAGTATTTTACGAGTGTTTTGTCTTAATGCTTTCATTTTTTTTTTTTTTGCAAACTTACTTGTAATTGTGCTTTTTTTCTTTCTTGAGACTAGTACAACAATTGCTTCTTTCCATTTTCATCTCCCTTTGTTCTGAGATCCTTCTTCTATGGTACATGCCTCCTGGTACCAAGGACTGTTCATCATACAGTTTGAATGAAATACCCTCTGGCATGATGCAATGGTCCTGGACTCTTTTATCTGACAGCTTTGAAAACTGATTGACTCCCAGAATGCAAATCTAAGGTTTCTCAGACTGGCTACAGAATGAAATGCCTGGATAAGCTCTCATGTGCGGCAATGCTTTATCTTTACTATCCCACACTTTTCTTGTTTACGTCAGACTCTGTTTTCTTCTTTCACTGAAAACAACAACAAGACGGCATTGACCTGTAGTACGCTGCATGGCCTTCACCGGGAGTAACATGGAAAGGGAAAATACATGAAGAAGATATTCTTTGTATTCGATATTTGAAGAATTTTCTGTGGACATTCTGCATTTTTTTAAAAATTGGAGCTGATACAGGAAAGGATAGGCAGTACTACAAATTAGTAAGAGGCAAAAATCAAATCTTTTTGAATCGATTTGGTGGTCAAGTTAAAACCTTAGAAATGTCCTTGTCAGATATCCAACTAGATGTCAGGGAAGTTAAATTGGCAGGTGTGGAGTTTATAAACTTTTGGACTGCTGACTTATTTCTCGTGAGACAAGCCTCACTGGTACTAACCAGTCTCTTGAGCTTCTTAATGGTGTAGACTTTGGCCAATCTTTTCTCAGTCTGTCTGCCTTGTAGGTTGGATTTTACTGGGCTCCTCTGCATTCCTTTTCCAAAGCCCCAGGTGTCTTCTTCCTCTGA